ATTAGCAAGAAATAAGACGGTTTATGACAACCAAGGGATCGCACTTTCCCTCAAGCGCATTTTGACGTTCTCCTGGGACTCGGAGGGTGACACCGGGTCAGCGTGGGGGAGGTGTTCCCGGGGCTGGGCGTGGAGACGTCCCTAGGACGCCATCAGCCCCCACCGCGAATCGTTGCACCCAGGAAGGGGGCGCCTGTTGCCTGCGCTGGAGAAGCAGGGCGGGCCCGGCGAGGCGGACACGGGAATGGCATGCGGACGCCCCCGTGGGCAGCAAGGCCGTGTGGGTCTGGGGTGAACACCGCGGGCAGCATCACCCCACAGCCTGCGTGCGGCCTGGAAACAGCAGCCCCGGCCGTCCGCGGGGCCATCAGGACAAGCCCACGTCCTCCCTGAAAGGCAAAAGCGATGGGCGCGAACAGGGCGAGGCTGCTCGCCCGAGAGGAGATGGGCCCACTTCCCGGGGAGGCCACCCCGCTCTCTAACCACAGGCCCGGGAGCATCTCCTCTGGAAGAGGAACTCGGGGCTCCACTTGCTCCCATCCCGAAAGGCTGCCAAAGCAGATGGGGGTTCCTCCGGCCGGGTGAGGACATCTGGGAAGGGCCATGAGGGAACTTTCTGGAATGATGGAAATGCTCTCTCTCTTGACTGTGGTAGTGGTTTCACGGGTGCACGTGTGTCCAAACTCATTGGAATGCACACACAAAATGAGTGTGTCTTACTGGATGTAAACTAGACCTCAGCAGAGCTGATTTTTAAAAAATGAAACACAAGCAGTGTTGCAGCAAATATTTCTTACTGCCTGCCCAGGAGCCATCCTTCCTTTTTGATAGTAGGAGAGCCCACCTCCCACCAGAGAGCCTGACAATGCCAGCTTCTCATTTCCTGTTTCCTTGCAGCCAGGAGAGGAACGTGTGACCCAATTTGGGTCAACAGATCCTAAACAGAAGGGCTTCTAGGAAGATTGTGTGTGTCTTCTTTCGCACTCACATGGTTGTATCTGATGTGACAGCTGGAGCTGCTGCCCCCATTTTGTGAGCTTGAGGAAAGACTTCCCCGGCTGAGCAGCATGATGGAAGGACCAGATTCCAAGGTGTTATCAAGAACCACGGAGCTGCCCTGCCTGTAGGATTCTTGCTGTGCAAAGGGACAAAATCTGTTCCTTTTTTCAGCCACTATTGGTTGAATATTCTGTCAGTTTATGATACAAATGCTAATATCACCCCCAACCAAAATAAATAACAACTTTTCATTCCTCTGCACTCGACCCGTAATTCCTCTGTATGTGCCTCTAGGCCACGGTCCTCAGACCGGCACCCCCTGGTCCCCTCCCTGACGCGAGCTATGATTTATCAACGCCCTTCACAAAATGCAGTGCCCAGAAGCAGACGCCAGGTTCTGCATGTGCGCAGACAGGCACAGCACTGGGGCAACACTAATTCCCTTGGCCACACCCAACCAAGCCTGAGGTGGGTCCTGGTCATCAGCGTCGTCCTCTGGGTTCTGATGACCCTCGGCCCCGCTGGCCTCCGCCTCCTCCATCTGCCCGGCTCTCGCTGTGTGGACAGGCTCTCTTGCTCACTTTCCTTCTCTGCCCTTGGATCTCCCCAGCTGTTCCATTCTGGGTGGGAGAGGAAAATGCAGCAGCGAAGAGTCCAGACTCTGGGGGGAGCCTGCCACGGTTCGCTACTTCCGAGTCGTGTGACCCTGGGCAATTACTCATCTCTCCGAGCCTCAGTTTCCTCTCGAATAAAACGACAATGAAGGAAACGCCTTCTGACGTCGACAGCTCTTAGCAGAGTGCCTGCTGCACGCTGACAGCTCCGTTAAGAACTAGCGGCTGTCCCTATGTGTGTGTTTGGGGCCTAACAGACCCAACTGTCCAGAACAAGGTTGTCCAGACGGGCCATCAGAGGCAGCAGGAGGATGAAAGTTCAGTGTCACAGGAATGAGATGGAGTCCCAAGGCCGGCAGTGGGCCGCCGTGAGAAGCTTATGAAAACCACATGGCCGCGTATGTCTTTCCAGAGACCTCTGCTCTGGGACCACCTGTCTGTGGGCAAAATGAAGACCGTGGTTGTTTTCATAGCTACCTGATTACAACGCCTAATTTAAAAAAATGTTTGCCAAAGCCCAACCGAAATACAGCTCTGATGGGATCTACACGGAACCTGCACCTTTTATAGACATACTTTCATTTAGAAGCGGACGCCTTAACGTAAAAATAAATCTGATATCTTAATCTAGGTGGAGTGATCGCAAATCAAATTTACCATGATGTGGAACTAATTTTTGCAACGTGTCCCTTGACGCGCGGTCTGTCAGAGTCAGAGAGAGAAACACCCCACTGGAGCGAAGTCGCGTTTCCAGGTGGAGAATCCTGGGCCCAGGCTCTCAGCCTTTCTCTTCTTCGTTCAGTTTTGCTGAGAACAGAAGCTCTTTCCCTTCTGACATTAAGATATTCTTGTGGGTCTCAACCTTCCAGACATAAAACTTCTGGAATCTTGTCCTTAGTTTCCGCTTCACCTTCCACCGCCTGTGAGAAGGCCCCTCAGAGCAGAGTTGGGCAGGAGTCTGCGGGGCGCCGGGGAGCCCTGGGCTTCTGTGTCCCCAGCGGTCCCCTCCTGAGGACCAAACCGCCCCGAGAGGCAGTGGCTGCAAACGGCCGTCGTTGACCGAGTTCAGAAATCTGCAGTTTGGGCCGGGCTCATGGTGAGAGCTGGTTTTCTCTGCGGTCTCGGCTGGGAAGGTTTCCTGGGGCTGCAGGACCCACATCCAAGACGGCATGCCCACGCAGCTGGGTGCAGGGCCGGCTGTGGGCTGAGAGCAAGCCGGGGCTGGGGGCCGGGGGCCTTGGGGCCTCTCCATGTGGCCTCTCCCAGGCCACTTGGGCTTCCTCGAAGCATAATGGCTGGGTTCCAAGAGCGAGGGTCCCAAAACCTTGGAAATCCCATCCCGTCACTCCTGCTGTCCCCTCGGGTAGGGCTCGTCACAGAGCCTGCCCAGAATCAATGGGAGGGGACACAAGCTCTGCCCCTTGATGGGAGAGAGGCAAGGTCTAGAAAAGCATGTGGGATGGGAGAGACCGGTACCCCCAGCATCAAAGAGACCTGGGTTTTAGCCCAACTCTGTCGTATGTTAGCTGTGTGGCCTTGGGCAAGCTCCTTAACTTCTCTGAGCTTCAGTTTCCCCAAATATGAAATGGGGTCACTCTTCCTAATGTTTGGAGAACTAAAGGAAGTGAGGGGTCCGACAAGCTGTAGATCGACACACGTCGGTGTCCTTTATCGTTTCCCCACTGAGAGGAGTGAGATTTTTCATTCACAATTATAGAAAAGTGCTTTAGAAACTGGTGACCTGATGTATAATCAATAGTTTTTGTTGCAAATCCGTTTCATGAACCGAACAGGACTCGACAGAGAGCAGGCGGAAGCAAACATGCCCCCTGCCCTCTCACCCCCCTGAACTCTGTCTGGGACCTCGTGACCCGCTCCCGGGTGAGCTCGCAGGTGTCTACCGGCTCCCAAACTTTCTGACCCAAGTGGTACAGTCCCTCTGTCTTGGCTTCATCAGTCCTGCTTGGCGGGCGCTCTGCTGGGGTGGCCTCGCTTTGTGGGGCCACCTGACACCCACCGCCTGGTTTCTGGGGCCTCTATCAGAACCTCAAGACAAGGAGATGCGGCTTCAGCATCCTGTCACAGCATTCTTGACTCCGGACAACAAGGGGAACTGTCCTGGGAATGTTCCTAAAACCCGCTCCCCAGGCTAGACTGCAGGCGGGAGGCTGGTGCCCTGGCCATGTGGCTGGGGGGCTCCGGGAGCTGGGGGCCAGCGGCCAGTTCACCTCCTACCGTGTGACTCGGCTTCTCCCCACCCCAACCTCCTCGTGTTGGACGGGGCGGCCGCGGTCTTCCCACTGAGGGCTGAGAGCCGAGCCCTCGGCGGGCCCCGTGCAGACAGAGCGGCTCGGGGAGCAACGTCTGCGCACATGTTCTCTGCGGATCCTGAGGTCAGACCCGATTTGCTCCTGTGCCCCCAACAGCGCCCGTGGCTGGGGCGTTCCTTGCACCAGGCTGCAGGAACCGGCACGTCGGAGCCCACTCCGTCCAGGTGGCAGGAGGTGACCTCTGAGAACAGGACAGAACGCTCCCCACCCTCAGGACACGGCCTTCGAGAGGGCGCTTTAGACACCAGGCAAACAGCACAACTGCGGATGGCGATGAGCGAGGGAGGAAAATGAAATGAGGGGGAGTCCGTGACGGTGTGGCAGGGGCCTTGGCGGTGGGGCGGCCGCTCCACGCAGGTGAGGCGGGGCGGGGCCTGAGGAAGAGTCCACGTGGGCTGCTGTGTCTCCAAGACCCCCTCGCCCCTCCTTACCCCTTCCCATCCTTCCCCAGCCTCCAAGAGGCCACAAGTGGAGAGCTGGACAGTGGGTGCAGTGGGGAAAGTGACTGGACCTCTCTGTGCCTCAGTTTCCCCCCTGTAGACTGGGGATGATGGTGAGAATAGTCTGGCCTCCTAGAATTGCCGAGGGGACTAAATGAACGGTTGCCCAGCGAGGGTCGAGAACAGGATTCCCATCACTTTGTTTCCAAAGACATGGGTGCTGAGCACAGGAGGCCAGCGCCACTGGAGGCCCTGGGATGGAGGAGGTCACAGGAGTGGGGGCCTGTCCCGGAGCGAGGCGGCTCCCGCCTGCAGCCCGGCTCGGAGGGGCAAACCCCGACCCAGTCCCGGAGCAGCTGGCCCTGCGGCCGTCCGGGACCGAGCGCGCTGGTGAGCACTTCTGGGAAAGGCCCCCTCCCCCTGGAGATGGGCAGAGCCCCAAGGTCCACAGACGCCGCCACACACGCGCTGTCTGGAGCCCCCACCCCACTGCCACGCCGGTGGGATGGTTAACCCACTGAAGTCACTGAACCCTTTCTGTTTGTTTCATAAAAAAATGTTTTCTCTTGGTTTTAGCCACATTGTTGTTTAAAGGAATGAAATAATTGAAACACGAGGAACTCTATGAAGGCTTGGATTTTTATCTCTATGAGCACATCAATTATATAGACAACATTCGGTCTTTTTTTTTTTAACCAACACAATTTAACGAATTTTATTCACTGCCACTGATTTATAATGCCATCTCTTTTATTGAACAAATACATACATATGCACGAAAAATGAGATCTCTAAACCTGTACGCGGTCCTGGGGCTGCCACACCCGTGTACCGCTCACTGGGGAGCTTAAAACAGCAGAAATTGAGTCTCTCGCGGTTGCGGGGTCAGAAGCCTGGAATCGAGCGGTCGGCAGGGTAGGTTCTTTCCGGGGCCTCTGGTGGAGGATCGATTTCAAGCTCCTCTCCCAGCTCCTGGTGTGGCCGCCGTCCTCGGCATTCTACTCCCTCCAGTCACTGCCTCTGCCGTCACGTGGCCTCTCCCCAGGTCTCCGTGTCTTCACATGGTGTCCTCCTCTCTGTGTATCTGTCTCCATCAATTTTAAAACCAATTTCTTTGCCCATCTCTGGCTAAGCTGGATGAAAAACCCTTTCTCCATTTCTATGGAGTCCACACGCTGCCACTGTCTGGGTTGTGGAGGAGGGTGTGCCCTTGGGAACCCAAGCCAGAGGGAGCAGCAGGGTCTGTCAGTTGGGATGAGGCCAAGGGAGGTTGGGATTCTCCCTCAGTCAGTGCTCACCCCCAGGGGCCCTGGGAGGGCTGACCTTTAATGCAGAAGTCGAGGTGAAGATGAGGAGGGCATGGAGGTGATTCTTCAGTCCCAGGGGACTCTGAGCACACACTCCTCTCTGCACGGCAGCCAGAGTGGTCCTCCTCGAGTGGCAATCAGCCCCACGGTTCGCTCCTAAGCTCCAAAGATGCTCCCCAACAATGCCACCCGGCCTGAGGTGCAAGGCGGGCTCCTGTCCAGAGATGGAGCCCTCCCCTCGAGTCCAGGCTGGGCCTCTACTGCTCTGGCCAATAGAATGGTGGTCTGGGACATCTGAACCCAGGTCTTAAGAAGGCTGGAAGCTTCCACATCGTCTTCTGGGGATCCAGGCACCCTGTTATTAGAAGCTGGAGCCACGTGGCGAGGCCACAGGGAGAACTCACGTGCTCCGGTGAGAAGTCCCGGCTGAGCTCCCCGCAACGGCCAGCACCAACCAGCAACCAGGAGACCCAGCAGCCTGGACGTCCAGCCCAGCTCATGCTATGGAGCATCACACAGAGCAGAAGAACCGCCCGGCGGAGCCCAGGCCAGCCACGGAAACCTGAGGAAGAAGAAGATGGTCATTGTCGTAAGCCACTACATTTTACGGTGGTCTCTTACACGTCAAGAGACATGGCAACAATAGCGAACAGAAATACAGATCTGTGTCTGCCAAAAGTCAAGCGCTACAAAATTTGTAACACCACGATTGATGATAGTCTCAAACTGGGACTGAGGGCAAGTCCCTCGATAGCAGGACGACCAACAGCCTGCATCCTGTGTGCGCTGGGATGCCAGACAGTGGTGGAGACGAATAAACCACGACTCCATGCAATGACCCGGACAAATCGCACACGATGCCACAGAGGGAGGGATGCCAGGTCACAGCGCGCATTCTGAATCATGGCATTTACACCACGCGCACGAGGAGGCAGGACTCCACTGCGCCTGCGTGGAGAGCGCTCCCCTTTGGGTGCGTCGGAGTCAGCTCGGGCTGCTAGAGCAAAAATACCGTCGACTGGGCGGCTTAGACACCCAGCACTTATTTCTCACAGTTCTGGAGACTGCGAGGTCCCAGATCAAGGCGCCAACAGACTCGGTGTCTGGGGAGAGCCCACTTCCTCGTCCATCAACGGTGCCTTCTTGCTGTGTCCTCACCCGGCCGCGGAAGGGCCGGGGAGCTCTGCGGGGTCTCTTCTGTGAGGGCATGAACCCCATTCAGGAGGGCTCCCCCCTTGTCACCTAGTTCCCCCTCCAAGGCCCAACTTCCAAATACCTTCACACTGGGGACTAGGATTATAACATACGGACTTTGGGGTGACACAGACACTCGGTCCGTTGCAGGGTGGTGGTGATGGCAGCCGGGCACGAGGGGCTGCCGGGGGAGGCGGATGATGTGTCTGCGTCTGCTCGCCACTTAGAGTGTGCGTTGCCTTTGAGAAAACCCATCGAGCTAATTTGTGGACGTCTCTGTGTACATGTTCTATTTCAATAAAGAGTTCGTTTTCAAAGTGTAAATAGAATTTTTTTCTGGTTATCTACTGCTGCATAACAAATCATGCCAAAATGGAGTGGCTTTACTATTTCACCCAGTTTCTGTAGGTCAGGAATTCGAGAGGGCTGGGCTGAGTGGCTCTGGCTGGAGGGCTCTCCTGTGGGCGCAGTCGCAGGGGGCTGGGCGTGGGTCGTCTTCTTCACTCTCACTTCCCACCTGAGCTCGGGAGACTGGAAGGGTGGGGTGGGGGCCGGGGTGGCGGGGGCTCTGGGCATCTCTCTTATCTTCATGTGGCCTCTGCACATGGTCTCTCCAGCACCGGGCCTTCTGAGTACCCTGACTCCCTACAAGGCTATCTGAGCTCCAAAGGCATGTGTCCTGAGACAGCAGCCACCTCCTTTCCTCTCCTGGCCTTGGAAGTCACACGATGTAACTTCTGCCACATGCTATTTGCAGTCTCAAAGGTCTGCCCAGGTTCAAGTGAGGGTCATACTGACCTTGGACTCCCTCTGAGAGAAGGGGTATCAAAGAATTGCAGACACATTTTTAAAACCACCAAGACACCAACTCACTCTCCTTGTCAAAAACCACCAACGGTTGGCCATCACATTTAGAAGAAATCCACACACTTTTCCTGGCCCTCCAGACCAGCAGGGTCACCCTAGCCCTGCCCACCTTTCCCAGCCCTCTCTGCCTCCTCTGCTTTCTACTCCCCGCACCCCAGCCAGACTGGCCTCCTCTTGGATCCTGGAAGACAGCACACTGCTTGCACCCCAGGGCCTTTGCACGTGCTGTTTCTTGGTAGAACGCTCTTCTTCCTGATTATTGCCTGTCCCACTCCTTGTCCTCCAGGCCGTAGCTTAAATGGCACCACCTCAGATGTGCCCTTCTTTCCCACCCCTCTTTTCCCACTGCCTGGTTTTGTTTGCTTCATCACACTTCAGTCTCTTGGAAATTAGCTTTCCTGTTGATTTGCCCTTTCTTGTTGTTAATCGTCTGCCTCTCCCAACCAGAATGGAAGCTCCTTATTAACCACCAGGGCAACGCCTGGTGCTTAGTAAATATTTACTGAATGAATAGATGGGTGGATACTAGATGGACTGATGACACAAATACAGAACTAAAGCGTCCTTTTCATGTATGTGCTTGGCACTGTGCTGGATGCTGGGGACAGACGATGGCCGAGGTGCAGGGAGACGGAGGCCCACACCTCCAGCCAATCACAGGCAGCTGGTCGAGTGCTCGGCCCGTGCCATGAACAGAGCCCTCTCTGGGCACAGGGAGGGACTGTGCTGCCGTGGTGCTGCATCTGATTGGCTGTCAGCATGCACTCCTCCGTTCTCACGTGACTTCCTGGTCTGCAAAGTAAAGAACTACATTTCCCAGACTCCCTTGCAGCCAAAGTGCTGGACGTGAATGAGATTCAGCCAGCGAGATGCCTTCGCACAAGACCAGGAGGCAGAAGGGAGGCACCCTGGCATCGGGGCGGGGGGCTGGGCTCTGTGGGCGCGTGCAGGCCTGGAGACTCGGTGCTTTCTGGGGCGGTGCTCCAGCCTCCAGTCACCTGTCTCCGGGGGTCAAGAGGCCAGTGGGGTGGGGACTTCCTGATCCTGGACCGCAGGCACAGCTCTGTTCCTTAATTCAGTAGATCCAGGGGCGACTTCCTGCTTTGTGTGTGAGAGAAACATGTGGCTCTCTTGGCAGGTCAATTCTGTTTTGCTCCAGAGTCAGTTCTGGAGGCCCAGTGAGAACACACTCCTCCAGCCTGTCGATGGTTTTGGAATCCCCTAACCCCCAGTTTTAAGACCCAGTCTATGTAAATACTTGGAGTGCATATCACCTGCCACGACTGGGATGGCTGAAGAGATGAGGAGAGTGTGAGGGAGCAACGTCCAGCCACTGCATTTACAGATATTTCAGCAGATCCCAAAACATCCTAAGAAAACGGAAGACACAGCCCGCCACCTAGAAGCTCCAGCCACGAGACAGTGCAGCATCCTGATAGTTGGTGTCCAGGTGGCTCGTTGCTTTGTTCACCTTTTTATCCAGGTGTTGAGCATAAGATTTTTTTTCTTGAGGAAGATTAGCCCTGAGCTAACATCTACTGCCAATCCTCCTCTTTTTGCTGAGGAAGACTGGCGCTGAGCTAATATCCATGCCCATCTTCCTCTACTTTATATGTGGGACGCCTACCACAGCATGGCATTTTGCCAAGCGGTGCCATGTCCGCACCCGGGATCCAAACCAGCGAACCCTGGGCCGCCGAGAAGTGGAACGTGCCCACTTAACCACTGTGCCACCGAGCCAGCCCCCTGAGCATAAGATTTGGTCGACTGCCTGCTTCAGTGATTTTATAGAACAGCAAATACTCAATTATTTTCTTCTGCTCCATGACACAGTTAAAAAAAAAAAAAGGACCAGAAGTCTATGTTGTTACGCAGTCTAGTCCTGACACTACCACTACCACTGCTGTGCAAACTGGATCAGCCGCTTACCCTTTCTGGTCTTCATATTTCTCACTGCAAAATGAGAGAAGGAAACAAAACCACATCAAGTTTCCTTCCAGCTTTAAATGTCTAGGAATCCTTTCTATTCTTCTGGATGTGTGAGTGTGTGTATGTGTGTGTGTGTTGTGTACGTGCATGTGTGCATGGGTTTAATTCATCCTTATAACCAGTGAACTCTGCACAGCTCCCTGGCCCACTACCTACCTGGCCATGTTGGTTCCTATGAGCTCAAGAAAGGTGATTTTAATTAAAAAAAAAAATTGACCATGGAAAAAAATCAAGTACACAAAAGTAAGGAAAACACCATAAGCAGCCCCATCTGCCTTTTGTCGGCTTCAACAACGTATCAACTCATGTGCAATCTTGTCTTGTCTCCATCCCTTCCCAGGTCCCCTTGCCCCTGGGTTATTTTGAGGCAAGCCCCATCTGTACGTATTTCACGTAGTATCTTTAAAAGACGAGGACGGAGCTATTTTTGATGGTGATGCAATTGCCGGTCCAAGTAAACCTTTTCATCCCAAAGTTAGCTTCAAATTCGGGTCACAAATTCTCTTTGCAAATCCTGCTTGGAAAAGAGCCCTTCACGAGCACAGATGCTCCAGATGTCGCACAAACACTAAAACACGAATAAAAACACCCTCCCCCCATGCATTTATTCCTTAGAATGCAATTTTTAGAGCATCAGGAGTGATTCTCGGGTGGTCTACAGTCAGCCATTTTTCAGGAAACTATAAACTCAATATGGAAATTGGGCAATTCATTTTAACATCCACCCTCGCCAGGCGCCAGCCTCCGCACTATCCCCTGCAGCGCCTTCATCTTGCACGGGCAGAATTCCTCCTCCTGAGTCTGATATGCAGTGTCAGTGGCGCTGATGAGTGGATCCCCAGGTCCCCTAAGCACAGAGGGAGGCTCTGGAGCCCGGTGCCACACCAGCCCCTGGCTCTTCCACTCAGAAATGTGTGACTGCAGACAAGTCACGACAGGTCTCCAGGCCTCCATGACCTCATCCACAGAACAGGGATGGTAATCTCCAAGTCACCCTTGGAATGCTGCTTGGAGAGTAAACGAGCTAACAGAACACTCAGCTGGGTGCTGCCACGCAGAGAGGCTCTGCAAACACTGTGGTCTCAGCATCTTCATCCTGTTTTACAAACTGGGGTGAGGGTTCCTGAGGCCAGACGCCAATTGTACTCAGCGTCAGTCTCCCCACAGGGCAGCTGTCAAAAATCTGTGTTAAACCGAGAGAACAGACTCAAATCTGATCCCAAAAGGGAAAAAAGCTGTCTGAGTACACCCCATCCTTCTGGATCTTCTGCGATTTCCTCCATTGCTTGAGCAAGCCGGCCACAAGGAAGGCATTCAGGCTCATGTCCACAGGGGGAGAAAGCAGAGAAAAACTCTTTTTTCACAAAAAGGACTTAGTTTGTGCAAGAACTGCAATTTCGAGGCCCCGGACGACACAATTGGAGTATTGTACTTCGGGCTCCTCGTCGGGGCAGCCAGCTCTCCCGACAGTAAACACGCTTCTAATGAAATAAAAGTTTTGGGCAGCAGATT